CTTGAACAGACTTGAGAGAGGCGTTTCCGGCTGGCGTAACAGCCCCCAACACAATGATCTGAGGGATGTTTCATTTTGACCAGAAACACGCAAACAAAACGTTTTGTCGTTTCCAGAGTGGAATAAGGGATCTTCCGGAAAAGGGTTTATTTTCCGGAAAATCGCGTCTAGACTGGCGCTTTTCTCCGGCAAAACCCCGAGCCGGAAAAAAGCGGCAGCCATGTAAATGCAAATGCCGCGGGGGATATTTAAATCCCCCGCGGAATTTGCAATTCCGAAGTGTCTCATTAGCATCCCTTTTCCGGAAAGGGGTGCCAATGTAGACACAGCCTAGATGTTTAACATTTTGTCCTGACTGAGGATGAAAACAAAATGTTGAAATATTGGAATTTTCCACAGGCTGAAAATTCTGAATTTTCCTCAGCTCTAGTCCAGTTAATCGTGCATGTGAATTCCCGAAAGTCCATCTGTACAGACATCATCCGACGATAAGTTTTCAAAACAAATATTTGCAAATTGCTTTCCCTTTTGACTTGCCAGTCAGGGTGAGGTGCCTATGTTTGGCCAAAACCAGCTGTGCATCAACCATGTAGGACTTGCTGGGCCCAGGTTCTGGTAGGTGAAGGAAAGAGGCAGTGTGTTCAGAAACATTTTTGCAGCTGCAAATGTGTTGGTAATGATTAAGTTAACAGGTCTCTGGGTTAATGATTTGGGCTCTTGAGTCATTATAGGTAGGTCACCTTTAAAAACACCCAGATGCTAATCAAGAGTTGCCAGCTTGCCAGGTCCTAAAAGAAAAGGTGTGTGGAGGAGCACATGGGCTTATAAGTGTTAGAAAAGAAACTGGCGACCCAGGAGGAGAGGGGGTAAACAAAACAGCTTTATTGCCCACACATATTTACCTCGGACATTCAACACAATGTCCAAGTGGCAACGAATTGGCACCAATTACACCCTTTTATTATTTTAGTATGTTCATTACGCTCCTAATTACGTTAAGTACTATTTAAAAAAACCTTATTTAGTAATATTAATTACTAACTGCAGTAAAGCAGTTCCGTTTACCCCTTCCGCTCTTGGATCGCCTGTTTCTTCTCTACCAATAAGCATCGCAAACCAAGAGAGTTTGAGGCCAGCTTTCCAGCTGGGGTAAATTGATGCAGGATCTGGCCAGCTGGCCTTCTTTTCTGACTTTTCACTTCCGACTATAGAATCTGCTAAGCAAGGATCTGGGATGCTAATGAATTGCAGTGTTAGATGTAGGTGTGGGAGATGGGGGGGGGGCACAAGGAGGGGATATCAATCCTAATTTATCGTCGGAGTCAGTGTGCTGCTGATGCTGTGGTACCTGGAGGCTCTTCACAGCAAAGGAGCCTGCTACAGCAGCTAGCAAGGCAGAAGAAGAGCCAAACTGAGTCACTGCTACAGGAGTGACTGTGGACATGGCCGGGGACTGTCGGCCACCCTCTGGAACCAGGACTCCGGGTTCTCTGCCACTGATTCACTTTGTGACCTTAGGGCATGCCATTGAATCTCACAGCCTCAGTTTCCCCTCAAAGCAGTTCTAATAGCACTTGGGACCTTGGGTGCCTTAGTGCTTTGTGATCCTCAGCACTACAGAAAGTTAAAATAGCCAGTGCTCCACTAACTGATTGTCCCCCTCTACCAGCCTGCAAGAAAGGGACTGTGTGCACCCATGTCTCTAGTCCAGTGTTGGCGTTCTCAGGCACCTTTACTGGCCAAAGACTGGATTCAGTTAACAGGGCTCTGTGTTAATGATTTGGGGCCTTGAGTCATTATGTTCCGGGGCAGGTCGGGAACTTTGATGCCCAGCTGGGATCAGCTGGCAGCCCTCCAGCCGAGTTGATGAAGCGACACTAATTTGCACCCGCTGAGTTGGTGGCACTGGGTATTTATGCACTAAGTGCCAGGGAGTTAAATACTGTGTCAGTGTAACCAGACGGAAAGTCGCTAAGCACAAATACACAGGGCATGAAACGGCACATTTCTCGCCTCGAGGGGCTCCACAGCCGGAGCTGCAGAAGAGAATTTTGGTCACAATGCTCAGCTCTGTCGTTTGTCCAGGGGCTTATCTGGCCCCCATCTCTGGGCCCTATGGTAGGGCAGGGCTGGGCTGTTCTCCCCAGTGCGCAATGGAGAAAGGGAGGCAAAGATCCTGTGACTTGCTCCGGGCATCAGCGGCTGGGGTCCCGGAACCCGGATTTCCATAGCGCTGGCCCAGGGCTACTGTGAAAGAGATGGGGATGGGAACTGCCTGGGTGGGAGACAGCCAGGGGCTGGGCCTGGTACCCGAGTGACTGCCTTGGATGTGAGCTCGGCTGAAAGGACCTGCGGTGGGGAGCTTGCCCCGTGCCAAGGTTGGGAGTTGGCAGAGGATCCTGGTGCGATGGGTCCTTCAACATCTCTCCTGAGTTCTCCCTCTCCTCTCCGGATTCATGGCCCAGGTCTTTAAACAGCCCCCAGCCTGTGGGTGCCTTAAGGGGATCCACCCGCTAAGTTGGTTGGCAACCTGCAGACACCTGCTCCCCAAGCCTCAGGGATTCAGTTCCTCCCCTCCCCTCCTCTGCCAGGGGCTCTAGGCTCAGCGTGCCTCATGGCGGGGCCCAGCCCTGCTCCTCACCCCATGATGCTGCCCCCTGCCCCTTTCCCTTCCAGCACCTGGGAGTGGAAGGAGAGACTGCAACCAGCCCA